AGGAATGTTAAAATCAGTAGGGGAAGGAAGTGATACTTTGTTTTGGCACAACATTTGGGTTGGGGAAATTCCATTTAAGGAGAAATACAATAGGTTATTTAGAATTTCTTTAGATCAAGAGGCTGTCATTGTAGATATGGGTAGTTGGACTCAAGGGAAGTGGGAATGGGAATGGAGGTGGAGGCGAAACCTTTTTGTTTGGGAAAACGAACTTTTGCAGGAATTAATCAACGAACTACAAGGAATCTCATTGAAAAAAGGACAGCAAGACACATGGATGTGGAAACACAGTTGAGAGGGCAAGTACTCAGTGCAAACAGCATACAAATACTTAAGCCAACAACACACTGCAGGTTTTGGCCAAAACTATGATCTGGTATGGAATAAAAATGTACCTCTCAAAGTGATTGCGTTTGCATGGAAATTATTGCAAAATAGAATCCCAACAAAGGACAACTTGATGAAGCGGGGAATGAATGGCCAAGGAAATGAAAAATGTGTGCTGTGTGATCTAGAAGCAGAAAGCGTGGAACATCTTTTCTTCAAGTGTAACGTATCATGGAGCATTTGGGCATCATGCTATGGCTGGTGGGATCTCAAAGTAGCTGCCCACAGTAAAGGATGGCCCCATCTTGAGCAACACATTGGCATGATATCCACAGGTCTTGTAAAGGAAATGTGGACTGTTGTTTGGTTTGCAACTATGTGGTCTATTTGGATTTGGCGAAACCAGAAAATATTTAAAGATGGAGCTGACACTAGGGAGCAGGTTGTTGAGCTGATAAAGTTTAGATCATTTTACTGGTGCAAAACAGCATTATGCCTAGACCTTGTGCAAGACAAATGGCGTTCAAAACCAACAGAAGGCTACATGAGAATGCAGCAACGAGTTTGAGATTATTCAACACTCAATGGACATCACGGAAGAAGGTTTGATGACGGTAGAAATATGATGGATTTTCACCCTTAAAGGCAAATAAATGTTTTGAAAACATGTGTTTGATTACTTTCTGTTGTTGTAGGCTTCGGTCATATTTCCAAGAGCTTTTGCTATGAATGGAACTTTATGTTTTAGTAATGTAATGGATTTTGAGTACATCCTGTACTCCATGAATAATATATTTACTTTGCTGATCAAAAAAAACTTGTCAAGCACATTAATACTATGAAATAGAGTTGAGGATTGGGTATAATTTTTTATATCTAAGTAAATATTATGTATTAAAACCTTATATATGTCACTGTTTAAATCGATTACATATACAAATAAATACATGATCCATCTCTATATGTACTGCTCACCCCTATGAAGAAATTTTCTCCAACAACAAAGCATTCATTGCTGGGTTTTCCGGGTGGGGTTTCTTACAAATCATAAAATTATAATTTTTAATTTTTATTTTATAATGGGAATGGAAATCCCTATAGGTCTTCGCTAAGCAGGTAAAATTAATTTTTCAGAAAAAAAAAATTACTTCTGTCTTTATTTCCGTTCTCTCGCGAAGAAAAATGTTTCAGGATTCTTTGTGCCCGCAACGGTAATCTCCATGAAGCCCTGCCATATTAAATACGGCAATTCATAATACAATTAAATACGTCGGGACTTATACAGGCAAATTCATAATGCACAACAATGGTTGGGTATTGGGCGTTGGGCGTTGGCTTGAAGAAATTGAAATTCATACAAAGAAATAAATTAGCAGCTTCACGCGTTAAGTCATGAATGCACAACAATGGTTAGAAGATCCCTCCTCCTCAAATTAAATTAACTTGCATGTAATATTAACTTTATATAGTGTTTTTATATACATATGAATAGTAATTAAAAATACTTTTTTTGATCAAATGATATTATTAAAAAAAATTACATATTGAAACAAAAAAATTTTAATTGTTATTTATGTATAGTTGATAGAAAAAATAAAGAAAGGAAAAGAAAAATATAAAGATATATGAAAAAAAAAACTCTTTCTTTTTTAATTTCACTAAATATATAAGGTACTTAAGCCTTTACAAGAGAATATTATATGGTATAAAATCAATTAATCTAATTATATCAATCAATTATAATGTGAACCCAATCAACATAATTATAATATGAATATTTTGTAATATCCCCTTAAACTTAAGGTGGTGATGAGGAGACCAATTTGAGTCTGGAAAGAAGAGCACGGAAGTGTCCAAGAAAGCGAGTTTTTGATGAAAAGATCTGCAAATTGAATATGTAGATCGGTGTAGTCGACGTCGTTGGAAGAGAAGGAGGCAATATCAGATCTGGACAACAACATTGTCAAAAGTTCAATTGCAAGAAATCAAGAGCAAAATCAATGACCATTGGATGCGAGAAGGCTGGAGCAACACTAACCATGGGAGTAACACATATTGCCGGTGTAACAAATGAACAAGATCAAGAAAACTCAATTGCAAATAAGTCCAAGAAAAAAAGTAAAGATGATGATGATCGACACCACCTACAAGCAAAGCAATAACTCACCAAGGAGATGAACAGTAATAGTAAAAAAAGCCTCAAGACTCTGATACCATGATAGAAAAAATAAAGAGAAGTAAAATATAAAGATATATGAAAAAAGAAACTCTTTTTCTTTCTTAATTTCACTGAATATATAAAGTGCTTATTTATATGTCTGTATAAGAGAATATTTTATGGTACAAAATCAATAAACCTAATTATACCAATTAATTATAATGTAAATCCAATCAATATAATTATAATATGAATATCACGTAACAATAGTAAAAAAAAGCATTAGTTAAAGTTACTTGTAAACTAGTTATAATGACATAATTTGAAACGGAGGGAGAAACTAAGTTTCCATAAGTGGCGTGTGTTAGTGAAAATGTGAAAATAAGTCATATAAATACGAGTTCGGCTCATTTATTAAACCTTAATGTAGTATAATTATGATATTTTGTTTTGGTTTTTATTATTATTATTTTTCTTTGGATGGATTACAATTTTTTGAGGGAGAGGGGAATTCAAACCTCAGCTCTACCTTATGAAGAGACGTATAGTTATCGGATGATAAAAACCAGGTGTGTTTTGGTTTTTAAAAATTTTAAAATCTTAAAATAAAATTGATAAATCTTATAAATTAATTAATGTTTTGTTTAGTATGGTTGTGGTTTTTAATTTTTAACTTTAGTTTTTATAAATTTTATAACTCAAAACATAAATAAAAATTCATTTAATTTCATTTATCTATATATTATTATAATTATTAGAGAAATAAGAATAAAAGTAATTTTAATATTATTTAACAAGTTCATATTTTAGTTGTGATTGTTAAAACTTATTTTAAATAAATTATTAGTTTTTTATTTTTAGTTTTGGTTTTTAATAATTGTAAAATTTGTTAAAACTAAAACTAAAAATCAGAAACCACAACTATACTAAACAATGCCTAAATTTTCAATTTGGGTATTAATTCTAAAAGTCTATACTCAGTAAATTTATATCTTTAATCTTTAACTAGCATTTTTTGATTCACTCTACAAGTTGTTGGGATGTCTTTATGTTTTTAGTGAAGAAAAGAAAAATCAGCACTCACGATGTGTAAGAAGGTTTTTTTTGTCTAAAAACTGACAACAAAAGCCATTCAATCAAACACCATATATATTCTTTGAAATGAAACCCCTGATGCTCAAAAAGTCTTAAGCTTGAAAATAATCGAAATGAAAGCAAAGAAGAGAGACAATGGTTGAGAAATTTAAGAGCATAATTCTTGTAAACTGAACAGAACCGATTTTATCAATCTATGAATTTACGTACTAAACAACACAGTTTTCTCAAGAATAATAAACCAACGCAGCAAAGGGTTATTTGGGAAAGGAAAAGAAATGTTACAATATTTCCAAGCAAGATTCATGGTTTAAGTTCTGGAGACAGCATTTAAAAAAATTAATTTTTTAAATGAATTAGGCCACAATATATATAGAGTGCATTTTTAATATTGCTTGTAAAGGAATTTAAAAAATTAATTTTTTAAATGAATTAGGCCAATATATATGGAGTGCATTTTTAATATTGCTTGTAAAAGAATATTTAGTCTTTTGAAGTATGCAAAAACTAATTTGAAAACACCTTGATTATAATTTAAAAAAAAATGATAAAAGGGATTAAGCCAACAAAATTTATGTGCCGCGGACCATTGTTGTTGGCTTTAATCCGAAAGGAAAGCATAAAATCTTAGCAACACTATCCACCCAGATCACCTCACCCGACAGCTTCACCCAGATCTTAACTAAACCAAGGCAGCAAAGCAAATCTCTTATTAATGGTATACCATAGAAATGGTTAAAAGGTTAGATTTCATACCAAATCTTAGAAGAACTAAAGTGCCTTACTTTAGTAGTGAATTAAGTAGAAATCTTTAAAAAAAGAAAGAAGCAAATTCAGACTTCATGACAAAGTTCAATGATGAATAATTGTCATCTACGCTACACAAAATGTGAGATATCTTGTCTCATGCGGCATCTTGCCACAACAAATCACTCAAATTCAGGTACAATGTTTTCTTTTATAATCTATATGATGCATGAAGCATGATAATCTTTAGTAACTGCAGTTTCTCATGATTTGTATATTGTGATAAATGGGTTGACCTCCGAGTGCATATGCCTAACCTCCCTTTATAAAAAAGATACAGATGGATCCAAAATGAATTTTCTTCTTTTTGGTTGGACACTAATATTGCCCTGACCAACTGCTTAGGATGGATCATTATATATATATAGAGTCATTTTATCTATCCAAATAATTTTAAGATATTTTCTAAACATTTTTTCTTATAAGTTGATCTCTGATAAGACACTCTTTTGTTTTCCTTTTCTTAAAAAAGAGAACAAAAAATAGTCTTACATTATATATAGATTGTAACATACTAATCATTGTATGGAAATTCTTCCCCCAATTTTAAGAAGCCCCTGTTAATCTAATGAAACATGGAAGCTTCCACTCCCAATTTCAAGAAGCCATTGTATGTCTTGAAGTTTGGTATAGTCTAAAATGTAAAATGCAATTTTAAGGCACACCAAAAAAGGAAAAAATTTATCTCTAATGAAACATTAGCAAGTTGCCGCTTCGAAGTGCAAAACATTTTTTTTTTTAAATAAAGAGAAAAACTATGTCCTCAGTGAAACATGGGCCGGCTTAAGATTCAATATGGGCCGAAACGACCCAAATGCACATTACTTGCAGAGCTGCACTTAGCAGAATCGCAGCACTCATCAAACCGATGATATTCTCTTCTCATTCCGATTCCAAAACCCCAAAATTCAATTTTCTCGAAATTCATACCCCTTTTCCAATTTCGAATTCCATTCACAATTCTTTTTCATAATCCCAGAATTTTCAATAAAATCATTAAATCTTGATATACGTATCTCACAACCAAAATTGTTTTTTGGTTTTTATCATTTCTATTTTGTATTCGTATTGGAATTCTGCTGATTTTCCTGGAAGATGCGTTTTCCTGCTTCCAGGGATCGATTTCCCGGAGGCCAAACAGCTTCTCAGATCTTGTAAGGAACAAGGCAAGGAGAAGAAAAACGAAAGCTCTTGAGTCTTGTGATGGGCGGAAATGGAATTGCTGCGGTGGTTTTCTTGTTCTTGATTTTTTCCGGTGTCTCCAACGCTTCCCTGTTTTGGAAGCTTCGAAAGCTAGCAGATGTTGCTCAGAACAACAGCTCCGCTGCCGCTGCCGCCGCCGCCATTCCAACTGTTATTCTCTCTTCGATTTGCTTAGTTATAGTGTTATTTGTATTATTTTTGTTTTTTAAATGCCATTTTTGTTTCTTAGGTTTCTCGGTTGCCGAATCCTGGAACGGTTGACAAGAAATCGGATCCTAAGGTGGATGGTTCGGGAAAATCCGGTAGTGATTCGTCGAAATTGGATCCGAATGTGTCGAATGGAACAGGCTCCACGCCACCACTGGCGCAGAAACCTGAGGCGGCATCGGAGAAGTCGGATTTGATCAGTCCACCACCTCAAAATCTGACAGATACTGGTAAAAATTCGGAATTGAAGGATAAAGATGTTGGCAAGAGTAAAGGAAGCAAGGAGGAGGAGGAGGAGGAGAAGAACAAGAAGGGTGGTGAGGAGATAGATAGTGGACAGAGTTCGAATTCAGAAAATAAAGGGGACACTGAGAAGAATAAAGAAACAAAGGAAGAGGAAGAGAAGAAGAAAAGTGATAGTGAGGATAAAAATGAGTTGCAGGATAAAGAAACAAAGGAAGGGGAGGGGAAGAAGGATGACACGCAGCCAAATAGTGGTGAAACTTGTGACGACGAGCAGACGTGCAAGGATGAGAATTCTCTGGTTGCCTGCATAAAACATTTTGACAGTGGTAACTCATTTGCTCTCTGTCTTTTTTTAATTGAGTTTCATTATTTTATGGCATTGCAATTTGCATAGTGTAATTTGAGAGACATTATTTTAATAGTCAGGGTTTGAATTCAAGTTAGTCTTAGTGAGAAATAGTTAGAGAAACAATAGTGAATTCATAGATTTATAGTATTTAGAAATTCAAACATCATGATCTGCATTATGTTGACAAAAGTAGGCTAGGTCTTCTAGTGGTATGATTACCAGGTACTAGAATATTATATGTGGATATGGCATTTCAAATTTTCAAGATACTCTGCCTTCTTTTAAGTTTTAATGGCAGAAGGTACTATTACCTTCTATTATTAGCAACTTACTTTCTAAGGTAAGAACTTTTTTTTACAAAAGGAATGGCAGTTTCTTTCGAGACCTGTGAAGCTCCGTGAAGATCCCTGTTGTGGGGATGGAGATTCCAAGAATATTTCTCCTTGCGGAGTGGGGATGGAGCCATTTTCTTCCCCGCAAAATTTTGTGGGGAATTTCCTCTGTCCCAGACCAGTGGGTATCCATATATAATAAAAAATATAAATAAATTTATTCTTATATATATTTTTGTAAATATATTACCAATTAATTTTTACTCACCCAACCTAATTGGCTAACCCAACCTAACCTAAATTGCCCAGTCTAATTCCTTTTTCAGTTCTAGTCTTCTCAAACCCAATTCAATAACCCAACCCAACCCAACCCAACCTGGACATGTATGGCAGTTCATGCATTTTTTTTATGAACTTGCTGCTGGACTTGTTGGATGTGTATGGCAGTGTGTATTTGCTGCAATTGGTTACTAGATATTGCTTTGCTGCACTCTATGTTAATGCATTTACTTGTTTGAGTTGTTTTAAATTTTTACTTTTTTTTTTTTTATCAAGAAAAAAATAATGTTAAATTCTATATATAAATAAAAAAAATAATGTTAAATTCTATATATTTAATACTTGGTGGGAACTCCGAATTCCCGCAGGGACCTATCATTCCCCGTGGGTATTGGAATGGAGGCCATTTTTGGCTCCCTGCCAAAAATCCCCATGGGAATCCCTGTACCTGTTACTGGCGGGGATGGGAATGGGAATGGGGATGGGGATGGGAATGGGGATGGGGATGGGAATGGGGATGGGGAGGGGGATGGGGAGGGGGTCCCTGCCCCCGTGGGGACCCATTGCCAGCAGTTAATAGCCTCTTTTGCTATGTCATTGTCTAACTGGTTTGTTGAATCACAACTATTATATCTATAGAGAGCAAACATTTGGAGAGTTTCCTCTTTTATATCAAAAGACTTGATCTCTAGCTTCTTTAATTTACAAACTCTTGCATTTCTGATGGTTTCTTTTCAAAACTTTTTATGAAATTTTTTAAGCTTATATAATGCCGTCATTACTCTTTTCTTCATGTGGCATGTTAATTGATACCAAAACAGCCATTTATCCTTAGTGGTATGGTATCTCCTCTTTTTCCTTTTTGGTTTAAACTTTGCAGACAAATACCTACGTAACTTTTGCTTATCCCCCCTTTTATGTCGTGTTTGGCTTGATTACTCTGCTTTCTTATTAGCTTATTAGCTTGAGAATGCTCAGAGTAGTGGTGGGGAACTGTCTTATGGTGATACCTTCTTTAGTTATTTTCCCTAATGTTGATACTAGTCCATTTCTTAGATGTGAAACCTGAAATCATTTTTTTTGTTCAAGAAATTCATCTCCCTTTTTTATATCACATGGAGAATCATTGGTATCTCATTATGCTTATAACTTATGATCAAGAAAATGTTACTTGACAATAGCCTTGTGCATATATTTTCAATGTGGCAAACTAGTCCATGCTATTGAAAATGAATAGCTTATTCCATATAAAGGATGCTTTCAGCTTCCATAGCGACTAATCCAGACTGATTTCTGTTTTAATGGCCTCTGAACTCATATATGAAATTAGTACTAGTATGCCTTTTTGGTCATAAATACCATTAATGTAATGTGCTTGTATTTGGTACTTTCGATGTTTCTGGGGGTGAATTTAGGTTACATCTGAGGTCCAATTATTTTCAGGCCAAATAAATGATGCAGCTGGATGTGTGACATAACAAAAGTGCATCTTGATTTGACATTAAACTCAAAAATTTCTCAAATGTAGATGGGTTAAATTTCTTAGGGTGTTAAGTCATGCAATCTTGGATTCTCAATCAAAATATAACTCTGAAAATGTCCTTACAACCTCTTATCTCACATGTCCAAAATAAAATTGACAAGTAACAGAAAAAGAAGTAAACAGTGCAGTAATTTCAACAGCAGCATAAATGGTGCCCGTGCTAGTAGTCATGAGCAGTGATATCATATTCTTCTTCCAACCTCTTGGCCTAGATAAATAATCAATAAACAATGGCCATCAGGTAAGTTCATAACAAACATGTTCTTTGAGTCAATTCACTTCACTCTTCATGTAGTTAGCATGGTGAAATGACATCCTCTGTGAGACACCTGAGCACAAGACTAGAGATCAGAACTTGGACATTTAGGAAAGTTGTAGTACATATAATGTTTGATTTATTTCACATGCTTCATTAATTTTGTAAGAATGTAGCATGTAAATGCCTTTCGAAGTCATGTTTGAAATATTGGTTTCAGCAGGCAATGGAGCTAGGCTAGATTTGTTGGTTGGAGTGCATAATAATTATATTCTTGCAATAATTTGGAAGGAAAATCTTTTCCAGTTGTTTCTGCAGCATCTGTGAGAAGGGTAGTGGGACTTTACATAGAAATTAGGTTTACTTTTATGAGATAGAGAAATTTTGTTTATTCATTTACTTCTTAAGTAGCTTATATTTTTTATCAGTGTTTGAGGAGGGGGTTCAATTATTGTTTCAGTGTTTTGTTGGATATTCAGGAAAACCAAATTTTGGCTTTACAAGACATGCCTCTTTTGACTAAGAAATTAAAATCTTACATTTTCAACTCATGGCAATCACTATTATACATGGTTCCTGGCAGAAACGATCTAGATAAACCAATTTAACTATCCTCACAACTTTCTAGACAATCTTTAAATTAACAGCACTGTTCATTTGTATGCTTCCTCTGCAGTTTTTTGCTCCAAAACATAGGAAATAGAATTTCAGCAAAAATGCGTATTGATTATACTCTGTTATAGATGTAAAGTAATTGGAACTAGAGTTGGTACATTTCTTGATGAGATAATCTGATTTCCTTTTTCCTTAGCAGGGTCAAAAGAGTTGGCTGTTATAGTCCAAAATCAAGGGGAAGAAACTTTGGAAGTAAATCTTACAGGCTCAACGTCTATGGAAAATCATTTCAAGTTACCAAAACATGGAACTCATAGGGTATATTTCCTTTTCTTTCTATTTTTCATTATTTCTCCAGTGATCTTACTTCTTGAGTGAATTATATCTTGAATGAATTTTGTCATTTTCCTCTGACAATCTTGGAACTCTATGGAAACCTATATTATATGAACAATATTGAGAATAGAAATTGAATTTGAGCTGGATGCTGTTGCAGTGCAGATAATATAGAAAGATAAAGGAAAGAGCGTTGTTAGGGTGGGAATTTGAAACTAAGCTTTCATTGATGATATATAGCTGTCATTCTTAGAGCATGGTTTTGTTCTGCTATTCTTAAGACATGGGTTTCAGTTCTCAGTAAGAGTTTGCTTATCATTTAAGCTATGCATGGGCAAAAACCTTGTTAAGTAGAAATAATGGTCATCATATAACTGAAGGAAGCAGAAATATGTTAGGATGGAAAGGGAATTGTTCTTGCTGTTGCTGAAACTTGGCTGGTGCCTGATATGTTTGTCGCATTTTGCATGATTAATCATTAAATTAATTGTATGGCAAGATTAGTAACCTTGACTTCCAACTAGATTCAAAATATTATTTCAAGGTCTCATTGGTATGGTCCAAGAAATGCATGTTCATGTGTAATGCATGGGCAACCTTTGTTGACTTCATTGTCTTTTTGTTCACAATTAATACACAAATTTCTTGTTTATTTCCAGATAAATATCTCACTGGCTTCCATCCAAAGTGACAAACTGGTGGTCAGTGCTGGACATGGGAATTGTTCCCTACACACGGACTCTCCTGTTTCCAGAGCAAACTTTTTCTTTCTCCTGCCCTCATATGACAACCTAGTGAGCCCCATAAATGGTGCATACTTCTTGATTGCAACAGTTGTAATTTTTGTAGCTACATGGGCTTGCTGCAAACTCAGGAATTCAAGGAGACGGCGGCTAGATGGAATCCCTTATCAAGAGCTAGAAATGGGAAGGCCAGAATCCATGTCAGCTACTGTAGTCGAAACAGCAGAAGGATGGGATGAGGGTTGGGATGATGATTGGGATGAGGAACATGCAGTGAAATCACCAGCAGCACGTCACCTAGGAAACATCTCAGCAAACGGCCTCACTGCTAGGTCTTCAAACAAAGACGGCTGGGAAGATGGTTGGGACGATTAGGATCTTTACTTGAAAAAAATGCAAGGCAAGAACGTGAGAATTCAACATGCAGAATTTTGGATGAAAGAAGAAAACAAAGCAGGTATACGGAAATCATAGTCAATTCATTGTATAAACTGTAAATTCTTAACATACTTGCCATGTTGACATGGATTGAAGATTTGTTGTCATTCCTGATCGGAAGGAATTGTTTAGAAGAAGCCTAAAAGCATTGTATAGGGGAGTTGCACATGTTTTGTCTCTAATCAATCTTCGCCATACATGTTTCCCTTCTCCCTATTTTTTGTCTTGCAAGTTTGTAATGCCTTTTTGAGTACCCGGGCTTCGGAAATATATATATAATAAAAAAAAAAATTTCAGCATGAGGAAAGTATGAAATTTAATACTATTTCTTTCGAAAGGTTACAAGGAAATTCCATTTGCAACACGAGGATTAAAGATACCAAATCATCATTGCCATGCACCATGAAAATACTACTATCGCCACTCAAAATGTGTCATGATTATAGTCACACAAATGATTGGTAGTCACATGAAAACATTTTAAGTGTGTTTAATTTGATTGTTAGAGATTATATTTGTTAAGTAATAGTTGATAAAATAATTGATATTTATTACTTAACAATTTAAAATTAATGTCTAAATTGGATGTTTTCAAATATGTTAATCAAATTGATAAAATGGTATATAAATCAAACGCACTTATGATGTTTTTGTCCATAACCATGACCCTTAACATGCCGTAGAAGTGCTTCTCAGGACCCATTAGAAATTTGACTGCTCAGCGAGTATAGTTGAGCTGTCAGATTTTCAAGATAACACCAACGGAGATAAGATGTTAAATTTTTCATTATGGCTTGGTCTTGAGATACATATTACAACACTATTTTGTTTTGCCGACCTCCCAAGACCATCTAAATCATTAAAATTAATCTTCAAACTTAAGCATCAATTATTAACCAAAACCTGCAAAAAAAAAACAGAGGTTCTCACTCCTAACTGTGCCAACAAACTTTGAAATTGTGTATTTGGTTGGATGATGAGCATCAGCTGGTGATCATAGCTTTATGCTTTGATTGCAGGTGGTTGTTGACCATTTTTGCAGCATAAAGGAGAAAAGCAAAAAGGAATAGTGATTTCAATTTCAAACATGAAAAGTGTAGATAATGCAAGAGGCTGCCATGATGTGTTTGTGTCATTCCATTCATTGACTTCTACTGTCATTGTGAACTACATAGGTATATTTTACTTACCCTTCCTTTTCTTCCTCTAAAGACTTTCTCTGTATTCTTGGTTACAGAAATACTATTACTTTCAGTTTGCCAACCCGAGTTGAAATTTGATCAAAATATCATTAATGAATAAACACGCAATGACAATTTGGTTATTTCAGGCCCATACTGGCATTTTTCTCGTCAATCTACAGTGAAAAACTGCAATTTCATTTCAACAAACAAACTGGAAAAGGAAGAAAATTTCAAAGGCTTTCTTCGACTTTCTTTTCCTTTTGCTCCCTTGGTTCTTTCAAGAATTTCATGTATTTGACTTGAACAAATATAAAGAAACGTGGTTGAACTTGAACTCTTGAACAAAATTCGAATCCTCATATTCAATTGGTGAAAAACAATCCAGTAAGTGAGCCTGTGTACGACAAAATCAGTAAACTATAAGGCACAAAGGAAAATACAGCATCAAGAAACAAAGAATTAGGAGAAATAAAAGAACAAAAGGGTACAAAATTCAGAGGATGGAGCGGTGAAAGAGGGGATCTATTCTATTCTTTGTGTTGAACACACTGGATTCATATTCACCAGGAAACACTCTGTTTTTTTCAGTCTTGATCTCTTATAAAAGTTTGATTTATTCCAGCTCCTCTTGGCTATCAGAAGTGCATTGGATTAGTTCTAAAATGTTAACCACTTCTTCCATGTCAGGCCTATTAGATGGCACTTGAGATGCACATATTAAACCAAGCTTTATTACTGGAATTGCTTCCTCTGCTAGGAAATTACCCCGGAGCCTCCCATCAACACATTCCTCCACCCTACCATCCTCCAGTGCTCCCCTCACCATATCACAAAGCACCACTAAGTCATCCTCCATGTACTCCACTGGCTTCCTTCCTGTTACCACCTCTAATACCAAGACCCCAAATCCATACACATCGCATTTCTCAGTTATTTTCACTGTTTTGCATGCAAACTCAGGAGCCATGTAACCAAGTGCACTTTGGATTTTGCTGCTCAATTTGCAGCGGTCTAATGTTGGCAACAGCCTTGCAAGTCCAAAATCCCCAACCTTTGGCTCACCAGAGCTATCTATCAGCACATTTGTTGATTTCAGATTATAGTGAATAATGTTCAATCGATGCAGATAGGCCAAACCTTTTGCCATCCCAATAATTATGTTAAACCTTCGTCGCCAAGAGAGAAAATTTTGGCCAGGTTCGTCATGCAGGTGCTGAAACAAACTCCCGCTTGGTACTAATTCATAAATGAGGAGATGCAAGGATGGTGTCCAGTAATACCCTTCAAGTGCCACAAGATTTTGGTGCCTGATCTTTCCAAGCTTCTTCACTTCCTTCTCAAATTCCTCTTGGGACTTGATCATACTTGAAACAGTCAGTTTCTTAATGGCAACTGAATGCCCATCTTGAAGACTTGCTTGATAAACAACTCCGAACCCTCCACGACCAATCTCACTTTCCTTGTTTAGCAGTGGTTGGGCCCCAGCAACAAAGTCAGCATCGCCGGAAAACATTACAAGCTTGCCATAGTTTGGATCATTAGTGGGAGAGCGGCTGAAATCTTCCCCAGCAGATACTGTGACAGCAGCTGCTGCACGTGACATAGAAGACCGAACATGGATGTTGAGGATAGTTACTGCTACTACACCAATGGCAATTAAAGCTGCTGCACCAATGGCAATGAGGGAGGAGATGCTGAGTACAATCTTGCGATGCTGATTAGGAGAGGAGCCATTGACGGAGTCAGAAGAGTTTGGGTTGAGGACAATGGGCTTGGGATGGACAGCAGGGCAGGACCGTTTGACAACAGAACCACAGAGTTCTGGATTACCAGAGACAGATGAGGCAGGTATGGTATTGAAGAAGCCTCCTTGTGGGAGTTCACCATGGAGGTGGTTTTGTGAGACATTAAAGGACAGGAGGTGAGACAGATTTGACAGCTCTTTTGGTAGGGTTCCATTCAGCTCATTCATCGACAAATCTACATATTGGAGGTTGCTTAAGTCTCCAATGGCTGGAGGGATTAGGCCAGACAGGTTGTTCTGAGATAGAATTCTGCACCATTCAAACAAAAACAGAAAGAAAGGTAGAAATCTGTTAGAAAATTGCAGGCAACTAGGTTAATATTCTACTTTAGGACTTATCCATTGCAACCAGAGATTGGTAAATATTCCATCAAAGACTGGGAAAGAGATACCCCATTTTTTGTTAAACCAATTCGAAGGGACTTCTTCAAAAGCATCCCCAAAACTCACAGATTTAGGAAGGATAAATGCCTTATACCTCAAAGAAATGTATAGTGGCTAACTATCACCAACTGCATACGGCCTAATAGTTAAGAATTCATCTGTCCCTATGATGTTTTATATAAACATAGATTTAACCAGAATAGAGCTTAAAAGCAAATAGTCAAGGAAAAGGAAGAACTTACAAAGATGTTAAAGATGAGCAGTTCACTATCTCAGTTGGAATTTCCCCAGATAGAAAGTTCCTCTGCAACCTCAGCTCCTTGAGTGAAACCGCTCCTCCAATCTCAGGAGGAATGCTTCCATTTAGCAAATTGTAACTCAAATCTATATCCTCTGTGGATTTTAGTTCTCCTATGCTTGCTGGAATAGAACCAAAGAGACGGTTCCTGGACATATTCAAGAACACTAAGCTACTAAGAACCCCAATGCTGGATGGAATTTCACCAGATAATGCATTTGAAGACAGATTCAAAACCTGTAGACCCTCATAAGATGCCACCATTGAGTCAAGCGAAGCATTCACTGTGATTTCCCCAGAAAGTGACACACTCTTCAATCCAATCCCAAACATCCATGAAGGAACATTTCCAGACAACTGATTCTGGCTCATATCTATAGTCAAAAGGCTAGAGCAATTCACCATTGACTCTGGCAATTCCCCAGAAAACTGGTTCTTTGACAAATTCAGTTCCCTCAACCTCTTAAGATTTCCAATGGTAAATGGAATCCACCCAGAAAACTCATTCTCAGAAAGATCCAGACTCTCTAGACTTATTAGTTCTCCAATCCAATCTGAGACTTCCCCGATGAACCGATTTCCTCTCAAATTGATTGAACTACAGAAACCAAGCCTCTGCATTGATTCCGGAAGTCTACCAGAGAAATAATTATCATTAAAATCAAGCCATTTTAACTGTGAACAGCTTCCAATATCCCCCGGAATCCTCCCTGTGAACCTGTTCTTAGCCAAACTTATCCCTCTTAAGTCATACAAACACCCAATTCCCTCCGGAATCTCTCCCTCCAGCAAATTAACAGAAAGATCAAGAGATTGGAGGTTCCTGAGAAACCAAATTCCAGACGGTAAACGCCCGGAAATCTGATTAGATGAGAAGTTGACATCCACAAGCGTCGAACACCTGCTCAAAGAATCAGGAATCTGCCCAGTAAGATTGTTTCTTGCAAAAGAAACCGATTTTAGAGCCCCACATTGTGCAAAGAAATCATCAGGGATCGAACCAGAAAGACTGTTTCCACTAAAATCGATTGCCTGCAAACTGCCAAGCAGAGTAAAATCAGGGTTTATGGGTCCGGAAAAATTGTTATTCGCAAGCGAGAGGGTCTGAAGGAACTGCAACAGCAGCAGGCCGCGGCTGACATGACCGGAGAGGGAGAAGCCATCGAGGACGAGATGGGAGACCCGGTTGGAAGTGGGGTCGCACTTGACACCGACCCAGTTGCAGGCGTCGTCATCTTCTTCGGTCCAAGACTGGAGTTTGGACTTTGGGTCTTGGAGACCGGCCTTGAAGACGATTAACCCCAGCACATCGTCGTTGAAAGTTGGGCCCAGAGTGTGAACCACCGTTGCTGAAGCTAGAAGAAGA